CCATAAGGAAGGAACTAGATTGGAAATGGAGCAGCCAGGGTAGGAACTGGTGTCCAAATGGATGCTGGCACTGCAGGTGGGGGCTTAGCCTACTATTCCACGGGGCCACCCCCCACGCCCCCCGCCCCAGGCTGCGTTTTAAGTGCTATAACAACTGCTCACCCCAATTTTTTCATTTTTGTTAAAAATTTAGTCATTTTAGCTGGCGGCATGGGGAAAGCAGTGGAAGATAGCCCAAGGCCTTGGTACACCTGAGAGAAGCTCCAGGCTCTTGGCTTCCAACCCATGCAGCTCCAGCCACTGCAGCCACTTGGGGAATGAACCATGAGATGGAAGATTTCTCTCTCTATAACTCCCAAAACTCTGCCTTTCAAATGAAAAATAAAAGATGAAAATGAAAACTGAATTGCAACCACTGTTTCACTGTAATAGAATCTATTTTCTTAGAAACTGAAAAACATTAATTTGTAATATGACATGAGAGGACTGGGGTGTAAATATTAGACTTTCATTTAATTGAGCATGAAAATTGCGCCAGGAATGTAATGGTCTTTGGCTGAATAGACATGATTCGTTTTGGCAACAGATTTTCCACTCCACATGCATTACATGGCATAGACAAAACATAACTTCCATACAATCCACATCCTTACAGTAATTGATTTGCTGTCATGACAATCCCATAAGCAAAGATTCATAAATTATTTTAGAGAGGCTTTATTTTCAGAATGATATTTGATAGATACATTGTTAAAAATGCATTGCATGGTTTTGCAAAAAAGAAAAATTTAGAAATACATTTAAACCTTGAAACAAGTCTCTTAAAAGGAGTCACTATATCCAAATCCCACTGGAACCAGAAACGTCAGAGTCACATGAGACCATGGACTTCTGCAGAGACTGCAAATAAAAGCAAGAGCTTCCTGAAAGAGTTTCATTTCTTTGAAGACACTGAACAAGGATTCTCTCTGAGAATATTAGGAGGGAAGATAATTGCAAATATATTTCTTCGCTAAAAATATCAGTGGAAAATTTATTTATGTCAGAAACTTGGGGGCCCTGGCGGCATGGTCTAGTGGCTAAAGTCCTCGCCTTGAATGCGCCAGGATCCCATATGGGTGCCGGTTCTAATCCTGGAAGCTCCACTTCCCATCCAGCTCCCTGCTTGTGGCCTGGGAAAGTAGTCAAGGACGGCCCAAGGCTTTGGGACCCTGCACCTGCATGGGAGACCCAGAAGAGGTTCTTCGTGTCGGCGCAGTACCGGCCATTGCGCTCACTTGGGGAGTGAATCATCGGACGGAAGATCTTCCTCTCTGTCTCTCCTCCTCTCTGTATATCTGACTTTGTAATAAAAATTAAAAAAAAAGAATCTTGAAGATATATTTTTACCCCTCTAAGTGTCCCACATAAAATCAACACTTAGTATTTGTCAAATTATTATTATTTCACATTAATATTAAATCAAACACAATTAGAAGATTTCTACGGAAGTCTTAATCTCGTCCACAAGTGCACATGTTAATAATTAACAAAAGAAATGTCTGTTTCTTCTAAGTTTTGGCATAGAGCTCAGTTCCTCATTTTTTTAGGAACCAATGAGAGAAAGATGGCATAAACGTTGTTTCCTCAAGCTAACCCTTGCATCTTGCTTGTGTTAAACCTTTTCCTATGAGATAATTGTAGATTCTTGGGCAGTTGTAAAGGACTCCTGTATGGCTTTTTGCCTGGATCCCCTCAGTGGCAGCATCTTGCTAAACTGTAGGACAATTTCACAGTTTAAATGCTGATTTAGTCAAGACACTGAATGCTTCCAGCACCTCAGGGCACAAGCAGGGAGCTGGATGGGAAGTGTTGCAGCTGGGATTAGAATTGGCGCCCATATGAGATCCTGGCGCGTTCAAGGCAAGGGCTATAGCCGCTAGGCCACGCCGCCGGGCCCAATAAATAAATCTTAAAAAACAAAACAAACAAACAAACAAACAAAACCAAACAAGAACAACCACGCAGTGGTTCTCTAGAGTGCCTGTTGCCTTTCACATTTCCGCCTTTCCACCAGTGCTACAGGAGGGATTCAGTTTCTCTGCGCCCTTGGCAGCATTTGGTGTGGTCGCTTTAATTTTAGTGACTCTGGTAGATGTGCAGTGGAATCTCATTGTGGTTCCAGTTTATAACTTCTTCATGACAAGGGATGCTGACTATCTCATCAGGTGCCCACTCGCCATCTGTATATTCTCTGCCACAAAACGCTCATGTTCTTTATTTTTCCTTTGGATTTTCCCCCTAAACGCTCACGTGCCTAGTTCTATGCATCCTGTGCACCTGTCTTTTAGATACGTGGCTTCAGATAGTTTCGTTCAGTACGTGTCCTATGTTTTCATCCTTTGAACATGATTTTTTGCACAGCCAAAGTGTTAAATCTTGCTGAAGCCTGATTTATCAAATTTCCTTTTTGTGGATTATGTTTTTGATGTCGAATCGAAGGAGTCTGCTCAGCCCACAGCCCTCCAGATGCTCTACTTTTCTGTTTTTTCTGCGCCCCCCCCCCCGTAGTTCTATCCTTCATGTTTAAGGTCATGATCTCCTTGAGTTGATTTTTGTGTAAGGCATGGAGTTTAGGTCAAGTCTCAGCATATAGATGCTGCACCTATGCTGATAACTTTGTAACTAAGTATTTCATTTTCTTGAGAGTGGTTGTAAATGGTATTAAGTTTGCAGTTTGATTTCCACATGTTTATTGTTAGTATACAGAAATGTGATTAAATTGCACATGCTGATATCGTACCCCGAGACCTTGCTGCATTTGATATTGTTGTTTTGGTTTGCTAAAACTAACGTATGTAGAATTCCCTATGTAGGCAATCGTGTCAACTCTTAATAGGGGCATCTTTCTTTCGTTTCAATTTGTTCTCATTTATTTTTTCTTGCCTTATTGCCATATCTAGAATTTCCAATTCAGCTGAAAATTTTGAGTCCATGTAAAGTTTTAAAGATTTGCTGAAATGCACCAGACTGAATGGGGCCCATGAGACACAGCTCTTGAGTACTCAACAGCACTTTATGGTCAAACGGCTCAGATTTCATTTCTTGTGATCTGAAGAAATAGCTGACAACAGTTGTCAGTTTTTCTTTATGCTGTATGCTCTGCAAAGCCCTCTTAAGCACCAGTGACTTCCAGTGACCTAAAAAGAACCTGGCTGGACAAGCAACCCTGGCACAGGGTCATGATTTGCAAGACAGATCTGAGAACGCAGTGTTGCTCCAAGAGTTAAGATCTGGGCTTGGCTTATGAAGCCCTTTTGAGCACACATTTCATTCTTACAGTTCTCCCCCTCCTTTTTTTTTTTTTCTAAATTGAGGGTAGTAACAATTTAAATACTGAATATAGGAAACATTCTCAAAGATCTCTCATTTACGTACAAAAATTGCTATTGCTAGGAATTTTTGAAAACTGGCTGTGATAACTAAAGAATTCTGTGTATCTTGCTACATGTCTAGAAACAGGCACTTAAAATGCATCTTGACAACTCAGACTCTCTTCACGTCTTATTTTTTAAAACAAAAATAAAAACATCAATAACACTTTTACTTAAGAGTCCATATTTCCTACCCATAATGGTATATTTTTATACTGTGCAGCAACCTAACCCACCTGAGGGTGTATAATCATCATAAAAAGATGGAAAACTTCGGTATCACTAGATTCTTTATATGTTTCAACTATGAGGTCATGGCCATACACACACAGGTCCAGACTGTGGTTACAAATGCACACAAATGAGGCTTAACATAAAAAACAAGGAAATGTTGCACATGGTTTGTAGAAAATTTTAATTTGATCGATGAATCAAATGTCAGAGATTTTCCCCATCCTCACCTGACCCGGGAAGCAGTGGCAAGTTAGGCATTGTCTCTCACCATCACTTTACTGATGTTCTTGGTTCAGTGTCTACCTATGTATATTCCAGTAATTCTTCTCCTTAAAATAGGAAGCCTTGTAGGTATCATTCCTTCCTTTGTTTGCAACGAGTTCTGCAGTCTGGTCATGGGAGGCTAACATAGCCTTGCTGGGCCTCAATTTCCCTGTCTGGAAGTGGCAATGAGTATGTGTCTCTTTCTGATTGTAGAGCTCAAACGAGATGCCCACTCGCAAGGGCTGTGCTCATGGCTGTGGAATGGGCCTGAGGCCGGTGGCGTCTTCCTTCTGTTTCCTTTTTGCTGCCATTGCTTCCTTCCCAGCTCCATCCTCTTTCCTCTCCTCTCCTGAGCAGGAGGAGCAGGGCCAGGAACTCCTTACTTGGGATGCCACCCCTCATACTTGCTAGGGGGAGTCTCTAACAGAAATGTGAGCTGCAGGGATTGCACCAAACTGGATGTCTTAGAACACTGTTTATCATGTCGCAGGGGGACAAAGACTCCATAACCAACCCATACTTTCTAGCAAATATGACCCAGTAATGCATTTGCAGTCCAACTGCATAATGGGTAAGCAATGGACAGTAGTCATCCATCCTCACCCTGAACACAGGGTTGTGGCAGTGTGACGCATGTGCTGCTCCTCTGTGCTGGCGAAGAGCTTAGAACCAAGAGGTTGCTTTTGGCACAGCAATGAACTAAACACTCTGACAATACGAAGCAATCATATTCTACATCAAGAGCATATACATATATATACATATACATATATATATGTGTGTTAAAGAGTGGAACAGCCACAGTCTCAAAGTATCATTTTCACAACCAACAATGGTTTCCAAACAGGAGAGTCAGGATTGAATCAATGTAAACAAAGTAAAATACTTGCATGGAGTGGTCTATAAATGGCCACTTGATTCTCAAGTCCAGTGTGAGATTCCTCAGTGCCTCTCTCTCATTCTGTGGAAGAGCTGGCAGAACTGCCAAGAAGCCTCCGACAAAGCGGCAGCAGCCAGGAACAGGTCTGTTGGCATCACTCAGAAGGCTTTTGTTGGAATGCAAACACTGAAGATTCTCTTTTTACTGTGTCAGTCCTCTTTGGGGACTGCTTTGAAATATTCTTCTCTTGAAATGTCAGCCACTCCTCCATACCATTTCTGCAGCCAGATGTGCTGTATCCTCATCTTCATGAAGAACCATTCATACTGACGAGGCCACTTCCTCATCCCTGGGTGCCTGCGGGGACAAAGGGAGGTCACAGTGAAACTGCATTCATCCAAAGGGGTGCACCATTGGCTGGGGAGTGTGGGATCTTCCGAGTCAGAGCTTGGAGCAGCCTAGGAAGGCAGTAAGCTGGCGTCCCACACAGTCACTGAAAACTCAACTTTTGAGCCAGGTTCTTCTGTCTGAAGCCTGGTTCATTTCATCAGGTGCTGTGATGTCTCATGGATGGGGCTGTCTCCTTACCTCTACCTGGATCATAGGGCTAAGCGGGGGCCAAATCTGGAAGCACATGCAACATGATGTATTCTTTAAAATGATGTGTTTTGAAATAATTATAAATATGCAGAGAAATTAAAAACACATTTTTCTTCCCTGACCAACTGAAAGTAATTGCTGATCTGATGCTCTCGCATCACAAATACTCCACTGAGACAGTCACATGATTGCTCCTATTTTTTTGTTCTAAATCTTCCCAGAAATATACTAGCAGCAAAAACAGTTTTTCAGAACTCCATGTTTTTTTTAAAGATTTATTTATTTGTTTGTTTTAAGGTTTATTTATTTTTATTGCAAAGTCAGATATATATAGAGAAAAAGATCTTCCATCCGATGATTCACTCCCCAAGTGACTACAGTGGCCAGTACTGCACTGATCTGAAGCTTGGAGCCAGGAGCTCTTGCGGGTCTCCCACGTGGGTGCAGGGTCCCAAGGCTTGGGCTGTCTTCGATTGCTTTCCCAGGCCACAGCAGGGAACTGGATAGGAAGCAGGGTCATTGTGATTAGAACAGGCGACCATATGGAATCCCGGTGTGTTCAATATGAGGACTTTAGCTGCTAGGCTTCCGCGCCGGGCCCAAGATTTATTTATTTTTATTGGAAAGTTAGATATACAGAGAGGAGGAGAGACAGAAAGGAAGATCTTCTGTCTACTGATTCACTCCCCTAGTGGCTGCAATGGCCAGAGCTGAGCTGATCTGAAGTCAGGAACCTGGAGCTTCTTTTGGGTCTCCCATGTGGATGCAGGGTCCCTAGGCTTTAGACTATCTTTGACTGCCTTCCCAGGCCACAAGTATGGAGTTGCATGGGATCCTGGTGTGTTCAAGGCAAGGACTTTAGGTGCTAGGTCATTGTGCCGGGCCCAATTGTTGCTATCTTAAGTCACCTAGTTTAGCATTAATAACTGGAACAGAGTTTAGTATCTGAGGGTGGGTCTGGAGTACAGGTATAATAACCTTTCATTTGTGGGACACTGGCTTTGTGACCAGGCCATGGGTGGGAGCAGCAGGAGCTGGCTGTGGAGGTTGAAAGAAAGATAAATAGGGGTAGGCCTTGGATACAGCCATCAAGATGCCCAATGTCACATTCAACTCCAGATTTCACCTTCTTGCAAGGAAGCAGTGATGGCTCAAGTGTTTGGGGTTTTGCCACTCAACTAGGAAAGCTGGGTTAAATTTCTAGCTCCTGGGCCCGGCGCTGTGGCGCAAGTGGTTAAAGGTCCTCACCTTGCACGCGCCGGGATCCCATATGGGCGCCGGTTCTAATCCCGGCAGCCCCGCTTCCCTTCCAGCTCCCTGCCTGTGGCCTGGGAAAGCAGTCGAGGACGGCCCAAAGCTTTGGGAACCTGCACCCGCGTGGGAGACCCAGAAGAGGCTCCTGGCTTCGGATCGGCATAGTATCGGCCCGTTGCGCTCACTTGGGGAGTGAATCATCGGACGGAAGATCTTCCTCTCTGTCTCTCCTCTCTGTATATCCGCCTTTCCAATAAAAAATAATAAAAATAAATCTTTAAAAAAAAAAAAAATTTCTAGCTCCTGGTTGCTCCGCAGCCCAGTCCTGGGTATGTAAGCATTTGGGGAGTAATTGTTCTCAAAAGAATGATTCCCTGTTTTGTGAAAGAGTATAGAGCCCTGCTTTGTGGTGCTGTAGGTTAAACTACCGCTTGTACAGCTGCCATCCCACATTGGAGTGCCAGTCCAAGTCCCAGCTTCTCTACTTCCAATCCAGCTTCTTACTAATGCACCTGGGAAGGCAGTGGAAGGTGACCCAAATACCTGGGCCCTGCCACCGGTGTGGGAGACCAGGATGGAGCTGCTGGCTTCAGGCTGGTCCAACCTTGACTGTTACAACTATTTGGGGGAGTAAATCAGAAATGGAAGAGTCTCTCTTTCTCTCTCTATGTCTTTCGTTCTCTCTCTGTTGCTCTGCCTGTCAAATAAATAATCTTAAAAAAAAAAAGATGATGAAAGATTATGGGAAGCTGAAGCTAAAGGGACCAAATTGTAAAAGGTGGAAGATTTATACGATCTGAAGAGAAACCAGAGTATAAAGGGACCAAATTGGTACAGGTGTCTGCAGCAATGAGGAAGGTTGAAAATGGACATACAGAACTCAACGAATCTGGGAGAGATTTTGGCCTGTTCTCATTCCTGTTATAAGGTGCAGGAAATGTGAGAGCATCAAGAATGACAGCTGAGTGTGGAAATGCACCTATGCAGCACATGAGCAGATAGATTCATACGCATACATCTATTCCTCCCCGTGTGCTGAAAATCATGTTTCTGTTGAGTGACACTGCTAGCCCCAACCATGGCAGTTTTCTTTCTTATGCTTTGGTGACCCTTTTCCATGGCACTGAGCAGTGTGGCTTCTGCTCTCATGTCTCGTTTCTTTATTTGATGATTCCCTTTATTCGATGATCCTTCTGTCTCCTTCAGCTTGCTGCCTACCTTGTGGTGCTGTTCCATTAGCATAGACACATGGTGTCTGCTGTTCTCATCATGACACCACTTCAACATGGACCTGCTGCTCCAGGCTGTGCACGCCCTCGGCGCCTGGAGACTCCAGACTGAAAGACCATCCTTGTGCACACTTCCTCCTCACAAGCTGTTGCCTAGGCTCTGGCCTCTGCACAGGGCCACCCTCTCACCACCCATTTTGTTCCTTATAGCAGTGGTCCTCAAACTTCAGATTGTACATTAATTTCCTGGAGGTATACTTTTTGCAATTTAGATGACTGAATTTTATTTCTGAAGTATTTGAGTCAGTTGTCAGGTGGGGGGTGGGTGGAGGCAGAGAGCTGTGTCTGTGCAGGATCCCACTGAGAAGATGGTCCTGATAAGCCCTGCTCCGGCACTTCTGGCGGGCACCATGCTTTGCTCAGTGTGGGTGTAGGAACATGTTTTTGTGTGGACTTGACCAGACAGCTCAGTCGGTGTCCTTGCAAGTTGAGGCACTGCCTGAGGTTGGAAGCAAGCAGGAACTTGGTAGGGGTGAACTCTGCTGGTGATGCTAGCCTGCTACCCACACCTGTCTGGCCTCTCTACCACAGCTGGTGGCCACAGTGACAATAGGAGAGAGCCTGTGTTGTTACTGAAGAACAGCTTGGGTCAAGCTCCATTATGGCAAAAGATGCATCAAATAGCATAGCCCTGATATCTCCTTGTTATCACTGTATATTTTGAGGCAAATTGATTTGGCAGTGCTTACAAACCTTGAGAACATGGCCTGCTTGGCAAATTCTACTTCCTCCGAAGATACCATCATCATCCGGCCAGTGAGCGTGAGCCGCAGGCATCGGGGATCCTCTGGGTCCACGATGTTCTTTCTGCAAGGGAAGAAAAATGTTCATTTGTTAGGACAATGGTAGGATACTAGCATGAAACATGAAGGATCTTATTAAAAATGAAAAATATGGGGATGGCATTTGGTGTATTTGGCAAGATGCTGGGTAAAGTGCCTGTGTTTTAGTTCAGGCTCTGGCTCCTAACTCCAGCTTCCTGCTAATGTGGAACCTGGAAGGTAACAGGTGATGGCCCCAGTAATTAGATCCCAGTCACTCATGCAGGATACATGAATTGAGTTCCCAACTCTTGGCTTCAGCTGGATGGTAGTGTGCCAGCCTGTCTCCTGCCATTTGCTTTCTTGAATGAACAAGATACTAATCACATTACTGACATAGCAGGTTTTACATATATCAGCATTACAACCTTAAAATATTCCAGCATAGACAGTGTGGTAAGTGTGTGTCCATAAGGTGTATGGTAGTTTATGTTGTCAGGGCAGTAGAGAGTGTATTATCCAGGGTGGAAGTAGGGAGCTGTTATTCAAAAGGGTTAACATTCAGGTCACTAGATGAGTAAGTTCTAGAGATATTATGGATAGCCAAACACCCTAGAATTCATATAATATTGTGCACTTAAACTTTGTTAAGGGCTGGTGGATATTATGCCTCAGTGGGTTAAGTTCTTGCTGGGATGCCTACATCTCATACGTAACATTGTCTCATTTAAGTCTGAGTTACTTGGCTTCTAATCCGGCTTCCTGCTAACGTGCTTAGGAGGTAGCAGACAATGGCCCAAGTATCCAGGTTCTTGAATGGAGTTCCAGGCTCCTGGCTTAGGTCTGCACCAGCCCTGGATGTCATGGGCACTTGGAGAGTGAATCAGTGGATGGAAGATCTCTCATTCTCTCTGTGTCTGTCCTTCCATTCTTTCTTTGCCTTTCAAATAAATTCTTAAAGATTTATGGAGAGGGTAGATTTTATGTTTTGTATTTATTACAAAAACAAAACAAGACAACACCAGAAAATATTGAGAGATGTTGGATATATCTATCACATTGTGGTGCTGGTATCACAGGTGCTTGCATAATCTAAAAGGATGAATTTGCATACACTACACAGGTGCAATTCTTTAATATTAATTACACTTCAAGAAAATTAATAAAGCCAACATGGAAGTTGGTGCTTAGTGTAGAAGTTAAGAGGCCCTCTTTTCACATTAGAGTGTCTTGGTTCAACTCCCAACCCTGGCTTTTAACTCCAACTAACGCATACCTTATGATGGCCCAAGTGACTGGGCTCTTGTCACCCATATGGGAGACCTAGTTTGAGTTCCTGATTCCTGGCTCCAGATCCAGCCCAGTCCTGGCCAATCTGGGCATTTAGGGAGAGAATCAGTGGTTGGGGACTCTCTGTATCTATCTGTGACTCAAACCCACTAATTTTAGAAGAGAGCATTTTCAAGATTCTAATTGGATGTCACCATCTACAGCACCATGACTCTGCACAGCTATGGGGCCATGGCACTTAGAGGACACCATGCCAATGTTATTTGCAGCTAGTCCATGCAGTGTACTGCTAACAATGCACTTATTTCTGTTTTACACTGATTTTGGCTTTCATTTGGCATTGAAGATAATGTCTCCTATTTTTAATTTTAGTTTTATCTTGACCATTTATTCATTGGCGAACTTTTTCTTTTAGCATGCTTTTAAATGAAATACATTCTGTCATAATATAAAAAGTTAAAAATATAAGTTCATACAGAATCTTGTATATAAATATTCATGGCAGAATAATTTATAATAGTCCCAAGGTGGAAACAACCCAAATGTCCAAGAATATGGACAAAGTATGGACATTCTATCCACTGGTGCCCACCACCACCATTAAACTTGGAGCACACATGCACACACACACACACACACACACACACACACACACACACACACACACAACCTCCCAGAATATGCAAATCTAATAGCTAAAGCAGATTAATGGTTAGCACTAAGAAGAGAGTGCGAGAGAGGCTACTAATATATGACATTCCTGTTGGAGAGAATTACAATATTCTGAAATCACATAATGATAATTGCTCATAACTGTGAAAGTACTAAAGCCAAGAACATATCACAATTTAAAAAGGTGAATCTTGGGCCTTTGTTGTGGTGTAGTAGGTAGAGCTGCCACCTGCGATGCTGAAATCCCATATGGGTGCCACTGAGAGTCTTGGCTCTTCCACTCTTGATCCAGGTGTGTTTATTTGAGAGGTGCACACACACAGACATCATCTGCCAGCTCATTCCCCAAATGTCTTCAACAGCCCAGGTTGAGCCTGGGGGATCTACACTGAAGCCAGGAGCCAGAGATGCAGTCCAGCCCTTCTCTGTGGGTGGCAAGAACCCAACGACTTGAGCCATCACACCTGCTTCTAAGGGTTTACATCAGCAGGAAGCTGGAATCAGGAGCTCGAGTTGGGAATCAAACCTAGGTGCTCCAAGCTGAGTATTTTACCCATTACGCTAAAAGCCCACTCCCATCTTTATGTCATTTCTGTCTGTTGAGTGCCTCTGAGCTGCTAGAGGTGTTCTGACGTTGAATAATTTTGGTTTGTATTTGTGACAGCTGTGCTAAATTTCTGAGGGTCTCGTCTAAGGGGACTGTTCACTACGTGACCTGTGGCAAGATGCCCGAGTCTATTTCTTTTTCTGTAAGATGTTAATTTCTTACATGCCTTCTTCACAGGTGCAAACATATATCAAAGCCCTTGGAGTCTCATAAAGGAACAAGGACTAGCATTTTCATGTAGAACTATTCTCTTCTTACATGGAATTAATTTAAGTAAACAGATTAAAGATGGAGAAGATACTTCTTTAAAACAGTATTTATTTGAAAGAGCATGTGAGAGACAGAGATTGATTCCATCTGCTGGTTTCCTCCCCAAATGAGCACAACAGTTGGCTGGGGCTGGGCCAAGCTGAAGCCTGAAACTTGGAACTCTACCCAGGCCACTTTCATGCACGGCTGGAGCCCAAACACTCCCACCATCTTCCACTGCTTTCCATGTTGCACTATCTGGGAGCCGAGTCAGAAGCATAGCAGCTGAGACTGGTACTCAAATACGATGCTGGTGTTTTTTTAAAGAGTTATTTATTTTTTTATTAGAATGTCAGATATACAGAAAGGAGGGAAAACAGAGAAGAAGATCTTCCATCTGTTGATTCACTCCCCAAGTGGTCAGAATGGCCGGAGCTGAGCTGACCCGAAGCCAGGAGCCCGGAGCTTCCTCCCAGGTCTCTCTCTATATATATACACTCTTAGGCTGCCTCTTTCCTTTTTTAGTCTATTGCCCTTGAGCAATTTTCTGGCACTGCATTTCATGAGCTAAGGCTGGATGAGAAGTCTTTGTGATAGATTGTTCTCCAACATCAAAAGAGAAAAGATATCTTATACTTTTCTTTTGTTTGAGGTCAGCTATAGCCAGGGGAACAAAGAGGTCCTTTCTTGTCGGTTTTGTACAACCTGCATGCCTGAGCATTCTCACATACAGGCGCTTACTGACACTTGGAGAAGGGCATGAAAGATGCATAACGGGGAGTTGAAGCGTATGGGCTGTGTCTCAACCTCCTAGCTTTGAAACTAGGCCATGACTCACCCTTTTTTGTGCCTCAGTCTCTTCACTTGTTAAAAAACAAAACAAAACAAAACAAAAAAGCACAACAGATAAAAGTAATGTCTTCCCCCTGATGATTGGGGGGGGGGGGAACTCTTACAGCATTACAATGTACTTCTCCCTCACTACTCAGACTTAAACTGATTGGTTCATTTGGAAGACACTGGATATGTGTCATGTCATCCCTTCACCCTGCAGGAAACACACATCATGCTACAAGAGGTATATAAACCATGCTACTTCTTTATGCCATGAATTGAGAAAAGGCTTGCCACAAAAGTTTCCTTTTTCTGTAAGATACTAATTTCTTGCATGCCTTCTTCTCAGGTACAAACATATAGAGCCTCTCAGAGAGGTTTATGGAGCAGCCAAACCTGCCCTGCAGCTTGACCTTGGACGTCCAGTCTGCTCTGGGATAGCTGGTTATGGCATGGATGATGCAGTGATGGTAGAGAATGAAGGACCCCATGATAACAAGTACCAAGTCCCCCTCCATTGTCTGTCTGGCTCAGGTGCTGGAGCTGTACTTGGGTAAGGTGTTAGGATGGCTTCAGTGGGCAGGGTCATGGATAATGTATAACATGGACAAGCACTAACCCATAACATTTTGGCCGTGTTTGAGCCAAGCTGAAAGCAGGAATCAGGTGTTCCATAGGCGTTTCCCACATGGGTGACTGGGCCCAAATAAATACTTTAGTCTTCTTCCTCTTGATCTTGCATGAGCAGGGAGCTGGATCGGAAGTGGAGTAGCTGGCTCTCTAACTGGCATTCCAATATGGGATGGCGGTGTCATAAATGGTAGTTTTACTCACTGTGCTATAATGCCAGCTGATGCCTTTGTGGATCTTGAACCTCACCTTCTCATTTGAGTACTCTTAGCTCTTTTAGCAAATAATTGAATCTGGAGTGGTCTGGCCATGCCTGGCCATGCTGGCTGTGACAGCCCCTTTTTTTGATAGATGGTGTCATAAAACAGCTGATGATGAAAGAAAGAGTCCCTAAAACCCATCCTCTTGCAGTCCCTGACATTAAAAATCTTGAGAAAGACACATCTGTCAAGCACAGCACATGTTCTGCTCCACTGAAAGACATGTTTTCACCTGTCTGGAAGTTCTCTCTCATACACCCTGTTGTGTTGTAATAAGCGAGAATAATAGTGGACAAGCCCACATATCCAGGTACACTGATGAATGTGGGAACATCGTGTAACATTCCAAAGCGTTACAGGCTATGTTGTTTTCAACCCTGCAAAAACATGGAGCTGCTGAGTCATGAATTTTTCTTGTGGGTGACAATGAAAGAATGATGGGATGTGATCTACAGAATAACCATCAAATCTGAATCCACAGTGAAGTTTTTCTACAGAAAACTT